CTATTCTATGACTGTTTTGAAAGAAATTTCAAACTTCAGTGACCGTTTCTGAAACTTTGAAACTTTAGTGACCGTTTTGAAATTTTCAGGTAACTTCAGTGACCATTTGTGAAATTAACTCTTATGTAATAAGATATGATTGTATCAGAATTTCATCAAGCAAATAAAAAAAATCCTCATTCCCCATTCTTTTGACACATCATCTGTTTATAAATTAACTCATTATGCACAAGTAGCATTATTCCAATCCTTGCATCTTCCAACTAAAATCAAGCAAAAAAGAAGACCCCATATTGTGGGTTACTTGATTTCCTTATGAGGAATGAAGCCACTTAGCCACAAGGGAGAAAATTTACATCAATTAGTAAAGCTTGTTTGGGAGGGATTAAAATCGAATTAAAATTGAAAAACTAGTCGTTGTTGTTGACTTTTATTAGACAGGTGGGACCCAATAACAACTATATTTTCAATTTTAATTGGATTAAAATCTCTCACAAACAAGTTCTAAATATAAAATATGTTTGATAGAAGCACCACTTTCTGCGCACACTGAAAATCAGACTTGTACATGTTTAAAGATATTGGATTAAGAAATTTCCACCATCCCAATTTTGTTTCAACTTGGTTGATTTAGCCCCTATTTGTTTCCCATTATAATGCCAATTCTTACGGTTGCAATAGGGATCGATCGTCTTTTTTTGACAATTTTGTCTCACAATAGGACCCACTTCTTTGAAAAAAAGTTAAAAATTAAATTTTCCACCTTAAATAATGGAAACAAACAGGCTTAAAAAGATAAGAGGGCTAGAAAGTCTAAATAAGGGCTAAAAAGTCCCTCTCACATTGAGCGCAGGAATCTTCGATAAGCTAATTCTATTCCAAATTTTGTGCAATTTTTAAAGAAGCGGATAGGAAGGAAATAAATTTATTAAAATTTTGTCTACTCGCCTTACATGTCGGCAAACTTCAATTTCTGACCTTATGGCAAGGTGCCCTCTCTCTTACTACTGTTTAGTATCGTTCACTGGCAAATATCATGTCAAATAGTAACAATAGTAACAAATTCTTGTACTCTTATTGTTTAAACAGTCGTTATCAAATCTTATAATATTATGATTTTACTACTTCTACATAAAAATTGTACATAAAATGTTACCTAATATGATGTGGGGAAAAATGATTTGATCAAAAAATTGCATGTGTTTTAAACTGACAAATGATAGAATGACATGTGGCATTACACAACCCATTATGTAACCCTTGATGTACATGTAACAAGTCCATAATATCAATTAACATTGTACGGATTACTATAGGTAAATCTGAGGATTAAAAACCTTCATATGTAGTCAAAAGTCTGAATATGTATGTATCAACTTCTGATGGGTTATTAGATGAATAAAAAGGATATATAAATAAAATGAATGAAACAATTCACACTCAACTATTGCATTTCTAGTTTATTAGTTGCATTTGACTATACAAATAAATAGTTCAAACAAGACAAAAATGAATGCAAAATCTGAAACCTAAAAACTTATGGACATTGCTAACTGTTCTGAGGTTGAGTTCATTGTAGTTCTGCAATTTCACAATTCAGAAACAATGCACTTTCTATTACTTCAGTCAGGATAAATTTTGATGCCAAAATGATTTTCTTATCCAGATATGAACCAAAGATAGACACCTGAATACCAAAGAAGCTCCACATTGCCAGCAGCCAGCACTTCAGTTAAAAATATCATTGGGGGTTCTGAATTCAATAGCCTCTGATGCTCGATAAAAATAGGGCTGGCTAAAATTTCAAAGTTCGTAATATTCAGCTGATTCCCAAGCGTCTGTAACAGTACAATATTGATGTTATTGCACGCAGGATAAAACAAGCTGGAAATTTGGAAAATAAAAATTATTCTAAAGATCAAATTCAAAAGACTTCCATTTTGATTTTAGATTCATAGCTTTAATCATGCTACCTGTTGTTGGACCATCCTTCAGTTTCTGGTACTATAATCTGACCTCCGCATTGATTTGGCTTCGCATGACATTTCTGCATTTTAAGTGAAATAATCGATATTATCCAAATTAAACAGTCGTTTAAACTTTAAATTGGAACTTAGTTTCTTACCCAGAATTCAGGTTGGGAAGAACCGGGGACATTCTCCTTCGACTCCTGCATTAAACATGCGAAGCATTATAACCAAGTCATTAACAATAACAGCAATCTTCCCACCACAGTGCTGTCAAATTCACCTTATTCGACAAATGCTTCTTCAGCTGAGATATTTTATTGGTTTCAATATCTGATTGCAGGGAAAGCTGAAATTTTGGAGTGAAAAAAAATTGTTGAGTTAGAACTGAGAAACAAGGAAAATTTGCAAAGTTTTAAGGAACGCGAAAGCAATGTTCACTGAGATAGCACTCCTAAAAACATGAATTTCAGTAATTGTACCTTATTGAACAATTCCGATGGTAACTTCTGTAAGAGACTATTATCATAATCAATCTTGAATTCCTGCAGAGAGTCGACAATAATCTTTGATTCAAGGTACAAAAGCAGAAAAACTCAATGATGAGATTCATTCATTAATGAATTAATTATATAATTAGATATATTTTTAAATTAACTATTAGAGTCCTCGCTACCTGTTTAACGTCTTGAACTAAATCATCATCGGGCATGTTTGGAAACACCTGAAGACACAATATGGTTATAGAGTAAGTGCAATAACAGAAACACAAATTATGTTACACATCCAAAGTCATAGAGTACACACCTTTTGAGATTTAGAATTAAGTGAAGTGCCATGTTTCTCAGGCTTCAACGTCTCCCTAGAGTTTGGTCTGAAACACAGTTAACCAGGTTCAATGACCTATATTAGTCCACTGGATATAAAATATGGACCGTGAAAAAAGTAATGTAGATAGTGAAAAAAGTAGTGTAATGGGGAGAAGTTAAAATTAGCGAGGATGCAACATTCATGTACCTAATTCTCCCTTCACCAAAAAGACTATGCTAAATGATAGTTTGGAAAAATGCTAAATGATACTGGTTGGAGTATTTGACTGCACTGACCTCTTTGAGTCTGCACCACCATTTCGTACACGAGAAGCAGCTTTATGCGATTTTGATACCTACAAATTTGAAGCAAATTAACACTAGTTTTTTTTCTAAAAAAACAATTTTGATGTGCATTGCTGCATACCCTGTGCTCACTACTAGCTCCAATCAGTAAGACACTTCAAGACTAACATTAGTAGATCACTTATGTAATACCTTCCAATAAAGCGTTTATAAAGTTGGATGAACAACTTCTTTTGGCACAGAAAATAATATCGTACAAAAGCAATGACATCAAGAACTTACATTAGCAGATGCATGTTGCATTGCCCTCTCCATGGTCTTCAAATGAAACTCCTAATGGACATTGTTAAAAGGACAATGAGATTTGGAATTATGTAAGGAGAATTTTCTGATGTAAATTTGAATATTCTATTAAGAGCATTGAAGGATAGTGGTAGACAAGTTTTGATTATTTACTTGAAACTCCGTCTTCTTCTTAGGTTGGGGTATCGAAGGAGCCTGCAAAATCTACAGGTAGCACATAGAATCTTGTTAGCCAAATGTTCGGCCACATGCTGTGTACCACCAGGTCATAATTTCCAAAAGCATGTTAAATTACTGCAAATACCAACTTTTCTGTTCAATGGATGTTCTCTAAAGGCAGATGCTTTTGGTTTCTCATGTTCACTTGACCGAGAACTATTCTTAGACCTGAAAGTTAAGAACGTTGATTGTATCTGTCAGTCGTATTTGGATTTTCTACCGGGATGAAAAAAAAAAAAGTACCTCCGCCTTTGTGCTCGTAACAGCGTTTCCAGTTCTGGTTCTTTAGGCACTGTAACCTTTTATTCAGAATGAAAACAATTAGCTTCATTAGCAGAGAAGACAACAAGTAGGCCAATTTTTTAAAGTATTCTGCTTTCTATAGAGAGGGTATATAATTCTTATTCACCTCCACCTATAACACAAGTTCGTGCTGTCAAAAAAATTGTACCTTCTTTGTCAACTTATGGACAAGCGAAATTTGATGCTTTAAATGAGCAACCTGGTTGACATAAAATCAAAATTTAGGAGTCTGACAAAGGTTGATGATTGACGGTAACAAGTGGGTTATATTTTTTGTCTTTTCAGCTGAGAATACATTTAAAAACTAAGCATCGTATATTTGGCAACCTGTTATGTTAACAATAAACACGGTATCATAGCAAAGCAAAGACCTAAGTTCAAGTCTGGTTGTCACGAATATATTGAAATTGTGCATGTCTAAATCTTTGATGGAAAATACATTCCAGCCTACATGTGAGGGATGTGTTGAAGACAATTTTAAATTAAATATATGTGTCCCTTTAACAGTTCAAAGTTTTACATAAAATGGTTTAACACTTCCTTTTCTGGGAGTGTTCAAATGTTAGCGCATGATATGTGAGAAGTCAAGTGGGTCAAAACATTAAAATATGTCTAGGGAACCAAATATGATGCTTTGATCCAATGTACCTTCCGCAAATAACCAATCTCAAGTTTTTGTCTCTTGGTTGCAAGATTATCAAATCTGAGAGGACTCAGCGTAATTTTTTCCTCAACCTTGACGGTGTTTTTTTGGAACCTAGCAATGAAGGAAAACTAAATTATAAATATGGAATAGAAGTAATAAAAAGAGTGTGAAGAAAAACATTTGCAGAAACAAAGTAGAATTGTATTGGCCTTCAACATCCAGTTTCAAGTGATTCAAGTGTAGCTGTAAATGAAGACCAATCCAGCAATAACTTTCCTATAATTCCTATCCAACTGGAACTCAAATTGAAAGTACCTTGTACGGACACAGCTCGAACATGTATCTTCTAATTTATTTTGTTTTGCCAAATGACTAGCTGTAGGTCTCATTAGGGTTGAACTCCTTGATTGACATAATTTAGTAGCTGATTTGGTTTTCGTTTTTGCACTATCCAGAAATATGTGCCCGCTCGCTCCTGCTGAGAACCAAATATCAGAGGAGAATAGAAAATCCCAAAAAATTCAAGAGAATTCTATCTTGGCTTTATAAGTAATTATTAAGTCATTAAGAAACAAAAAGTTAGTAAAACAGATATACCTAAAAAAGTTGCACTGTACTAAGTATATCTGTTTTACACTATTAACATTTCAACTAGCAAATAAATCCATCATAAATTCAACATTATCAAAATAAAATTTCATCAAGATATGAAAGAAGTCGCATTGATCCTACCGTACCTTTAGTTTTCTTTTTGGATGGACAGGCACCGTATCGACCATCAACATCTGAACTATTGCTCATTGGCTTCACCTTTTTGCTATCTTTTGAGTTCGAAGAGTTGTGCACAACGTCCACAGAAAACACCTTTCCCAAATTCAACTTCACGATGAAAGCTAATGGTTCAAAGGAAAACAGGACCAAAAGGTACGACTTAGCAACGAGCACTTATGACTTATGCTTTACATTAAGCCAACCCCACCACCCTTCCCCTTCATAATAAATAGATAAACGGATACTCTTGTCATGGTTATGGTTAAACGAGAAAAGCAAAGAGCATGAACCTGATGAAATGTTTAAGAAAAAAGTTGTTTTTTTTTCCTTAATCATATGATTCATATTCAAATTGCTTGCCAGGTTGAAAATTAGCCCTTTATAACTGACGTGGACAAATAAAAAAATTCTCTTCTCTAAAAATCAAGAGAAACAAATTTTAGAAATCCTAACAATGATGTTTATTCAATACAAGCCCAAGAATAACAATGCAATTCAAATAAGAACACGCGTTGAAACAAAAAATTACGGAAATATTTAAAATGAATGAAAAGATTACGAGAGGGGGGATAATCTCCAGAAATTTCAAACCAGCGCTCAGCCTCCTCAATCTCAGAATCAGATTCCGGCCTCGTAAAATCGAAAAACGAAAAGGCATCAAACTCGTACGTCTCATCAATTACCAAAGGCTCCTCAAAACATTGTTCAATGAAATCCTCCATTTCTACGTCCATCCTTTTTTTTTTTTTTTTTTTGGAAAAAAGGCTTTTTTACATCACGGAAAATTCAGAGGAAATCATTGAAGTCTGAAAGCATATATACATATAAGTTTGTTCCCCCGAGAGAGAGGTTTAATGGAGGAAACCCTAGATATTGTTGAGGAGGAACTAGAGAAGTCAGAATCTTTGATGGTGCGAAATTTTCGTTTGGTGAAACAGAGAAGGAGAAGACAAATATTGCACCGATCGTTTACATATTTTAGCGCCTAGGCTTAAGACAGCGCAGCAATTTGAAAATGTGGGTCCTATAAATTTAAAGAATAATATACTATTAATTTTTTTTCCTTCGGTGATCATTTCTAGCCATCAAATTTTACATACCAAATAAGTCACATATTGATTAGTGTGTTATTTGCATATTTACGTAAAGAATAATTCTGCTCAAACAGGGAATATAAACAGGGTGTTAATGACACCCTGAGTTGGCAGAAATGGATTGGGCTTTTTTTTATTATTATTATTATTTAAATTGTCCAACAGTGTTGGACACGTGTATCTGTTTTTTAAATTCTGTCAAATTCCCCTGTTTGTGTAGAAAAGGACATCGATGATGGAAGTGACCAAAAGAGGAAATTTGTTTAGACTTTGAGTTGAAAATGATAGAGAGAAAATGACATGAAAAAGGTCCAAATAACGAATAAGGCAACTAATTGAGAGAAAGTGCCCAAGGGATAGAAAATTTTGTCAAGATGAAATTAGAAGAGAAAAATAATTATATTGATGATAGTGGGTAGATTGGCTAGGGCAAAAATCAAAGTTTAAGAATTTTGCCTTAACAAAATTAGAGATTTGTAGTCTCTTATCTATTTAGCCTGTGCAATTAAAGGTAAATTAGATTACCTAGATGTCGAAGAAAAAGGAAAGTCTGTGTGGATTCTTAGAGTTCAACATTGCAAAATGATGTGTTGCAAATTTCCTGTGTTAAAACGAATAATGTAATCCAATTCGATAATTGAATCAAACTTCAACTACTATACCATGATCTTTTCTATATGTTCGAGGTTAGGGATAGCAAGGGGCGTGACAAGATGGCAATTAAAATATCACAATTTGATCACCAAAACCGATTCAACCATGGAACAAAGTCAATTTTACCCGGTTCTTTCCGGTACCATTAAGGTTTGATCGGTTCTTACCGAGTTAATTATCAACCTATCATTCAAACTTTCCCGAGGTTCGATTCATCGAATTTTCAGACCGGCCAGGTTTGATAGTTTTATGTGCATATTTAGTGTTTTTATAAATACAACTTCTAGCAAATAATCATCCATGATTCCATCCAAGTATCTAGTGTTTTGACCAAACAGCAACGGTAATATATTTTTTAAAACACTGAATTCATATAATAAGCGCATGCAATCTCACGTACAGGGGCTGCTTGCAATTTCAGAAAGTGGCCAGTGTGCAAATGGTGGTGGTGGTTGTAACCAATAAATTAGTTAATTTGTAAGCATTAAATAATATGTGAAATAAGTGGTGACTTATAGGTTGATTTATCATCTGACTTTTGTGTTAACCGTGATCAAATTTGTGCAAATGTGACTGTCTGTGACATGACTGTTGTCACTGTGATTGTTATGTGTTAATTGGGACACTGTAATCAAGTTTGTGTTATTGTGACCGTCTGTGACCATGACTATTTTCATCATGAATGTGTGTGACTTGTGTTCTTTTCCACAAATCACAAATTATCTAATTAATTGGTCCCAAATTATAGTGTGACTTGAAAAATTTGTGATTTATAATTGTGATGTTCTATGATTTATCACTTGATTTATGTATTAACTGTGACTCTATGTGACCAAATTTGTTTCATTTGTGATTATCTGTGATCGATTCTATTTCACTATGAATGTTTGTGACGTGAAATGTGTTCATTGTGACCTAAGTTTGTGTTATTTGTCAGTTGTCACCGACTGTAACTAGCTCTATTTTCATTGTGAATGTTTGTAATTTGAATTGCGTTCATTGTGACATAACTATGACCTATTGTTGTCTTATTGCAACTTATATTGAACAAAGATCTATTTTATAGTTACGACCTATTTTTCGGCACCACCACCTGCATCACCACCTCATTATCGACAATGATGCTAGAACCACCGTTGTTTGTGGTGATGTGGGTGGTGGTGATGTGGGCAGTGTTGGCGAGGTCATGGGTTGTTGGCTGGTGCGGTATGGGTGTGGCGATGGTGGATCTATACGGTGTGGTGTCGTATGGGCGTGGTAGTGGTGGTATGTGGTGGTGGTGGATTTGTGCGGTGTGCGATGGTGGTGTGGTATGGGTGTGGTGGTGGATCTGGTGGTTGGGTGTGATGTAAATGGAGATAGAGAAGATGCTGGTGGTAGTGTGTTGTGGGTGGTGCAGTGCGCGGTGTGTGGTAGTGGTGAATCTGTGTGGTGCTGGTGGTGATATTGGCTAGGGTATTCGAGACGATGGTTTTGTTGTCAGAAGGTGGTGTTGGTGGTTCTAGCGACGGTGGTTTAGGTTGTTGCAACGGTATGGTGGTGGTCACAAGTGTTGGTGTTGTCACAAATGATTTGGTTGATTGTGCCCAATAAATTGGTTGGTGTGTGACCAATGAAACAGATAAATTACGACCAATACATACTGTGTGACCTAAAAATTTATTAATTTGATAAATTGTTACCTAAATATAATTTTTGATCAATTAATTTGATGTTTTGTGACCGTAAAAAAAATTTGTGATATAAAATTTGTGATTTTTGACCAATGAATAATATGTGACTTAGTAATTTAATAAATTTGTGACCGATGAATAAATTGTGACGTATAAATTTTTGATTTGTGATCGATGAACAAATTGTGACCTATGAATTTTTTGAATTGTGATCGTAAATCTAATTAATTGGTCCCAAATTATATTGTGACTTGAAAAATTTGTGATTTATAATTGTGATGTTCTATGATTTATCACTTGATTTATGTATTAACTGTGACTCTATGTGACCAAATTTGTTCATTTGTGATTATCTGTGATCGGTTCTATTTCACTATGAATGTTTGTGACGTGAAATGTGTTCATTGTGACCTAAGTTTGTGTTATTTGTCACCGACTGTAACTAGCCCTATTTTCATTGTGAATGTTTGTAACTTGAATTGCGTTCATTGTGACATAACTGTGACCTATTGTTGTCTTATTGCAACTTATATTGAACAAAGATCTATTTTATAGTTACAACCGATTTTTCGGCACCACCACCTACATCACCACCTCATTATCGACAATGATGCTAGAACCACCGTTGTTTGTGGTGATGTGGGTGGTGGTTATGTGGGCAGTGTTGGCGAGGTCATGGGTTGTTGGCTGGTGCGGTATGGGTGTAGCGATGGTGGATCTATACAGTGTGGTGTCGTATGGGCGTGGTAGTGGTGGTATGTGGTGGTGGTGGTGGATTTGTGCAGTGTGCGATGGTGGTGTGGTATGGGTGTGGTGGTGGATCTAGTGGTTGGGTGTGATGTAAATGGAGATAGAGAAGATGGTGGTGGTAGTGTGTTGTGGGTGGTGCAGTGCGCGGTGTGTGGTAGTGGTGAATATGTGTGGTGCTGGTGGTGATATTGGCTAGGGTATTCGAGACGATGGTTTTGTTGTCAGGAGGTGGTGTTGATGGTTCTAGCGACGGTGGTTTAGGTTGTTGCAACGGTATGGTGATGGTCACAAGTGTTGGTGTTGTCACAAATGATTTGGTTGATTGTGCCCAATAAATTGGTTGGTGTGTGACCAATGAAACAGATAAATTACGACCAATACGTACCGTGTGACCTAAAAATTTATTAATTTGATAAATTGTTACCTAAATATAATTTTTGATCAATTAATTTGATGTTTTGTGACCGTAAAAAAAAATTGTGATATATAAAATTTGTGATTTTTGACCAATGAATAATATGTGACTTAGTAATTTAATAGATTTGTGACCGATGAATAAATTGTGACGTATAAATTTTTGATTTGTGATCGATGAACAAATTGTGATCTATGAATTTTTTGAATTGTGATCGTAAAATAAGTTGTGACATATGAAAATTGTGATTTGTGATCAATTAATAATATATGCCCAACTATATGGAATTTGTGACCAAATTATATGAAATTTTGACTTTATATATTTAATTAATAAAATATATGTTTAATTAATTAATTTATAAATAAAATGTAAAAAATTCTGAGATTTGAAAATTTAAACATAATCTCTTAAATTTGAAATTGGTAAAACTAAACCTTTAGTTATGAAATCTTCCATTTATTTATTGTTGGCTAGTCCTGCCCATTAGTGGACCGAACATCTAAAAAAATAGATTAAGTTGGGCTTTTTTGGAAGCCCAAAGTAAATTAGCAAAAAAAAAAGAGCAAATTTTAGTTGATTAATTTTTGGGAAGATTATACATTCAAGAGAATAAGTTTCGCCTATTTTAAAAATAAGAAAACAAGTTTGAAATTTCCAAAATCAGATTTTTATTAAAAATTTTTAAAATTTTATTTATGAAATAAAATTTTATTAAATTAATTTATTATTAAATGTTTAATTCTAATATAATATAATTAACTCATCCCACCTTCACTACCCCTACCGCTCCGACTACCGTTCCGATCACCATCCTACTCCGGTGAACTTTTCGACGACCGTTTCTACGACTTTCCGGTGACTTTTTCGATTCTGACAATTATTTATATTATTAATTAAATATTTATTTATTTTAAATATAATGGTGTTACAATTATACAATTAATGATCACATATATATAATTAATTGGTCACATATTATTTTTGAGGTCACAAATCAAAAAAATTATAGGTCACGATTTTTTATTGATCACAGATCAAAAATTTTGTAGGTCGCGGATTATTTCGAGGTCACAAATCAGGTCACATATTATTTTATTGGTCACAAATCAAAAAATTACAGGTCACGGTTATCT